GGGGGGTCAGTGCTACACAGAGGGCTTGAGACAGGGGGTGGGAACACAGGAGACGCCCAGAGGGAGCGGGATCAGGGCAGGACCAGAGCCAGGCAGGTAGGACAGCTCAGGGATAGGCCAGACACACACTTAGTACACACATTGGATGGTGACAACACCTCACACTGTGTGCAAGGCAGCCTGAGGTTTTAAAGGGGCAGGACAGGCGCTTCTACTCAGGTGCTCTGGCACTCTCATGGGGCAGGGGGGACACACATATACTATTTAATTCTATATATCTGATCTAAATCCAAACAAAACATTTGGTATAAGTAGGCCTCCACTGATAAAACACCGGACAAGATATATAGTGAGTTAGGGTTAAATCATATATCGGAGTATATCTGCTTTCCCTGTGCAGATGGAGAAAGTCTTATAGGCCTGTGGGAATTTATGTCTACGCAGGGTAATGAACAAACAGCTAGGCCTGCTGCAAATAGTAAAGAGGTTGACGTTCTTTTTAAGGTAAACTTCCATTTCGGATAATCATGTGAAATGTTGTAATACCAAACTATGGGCAGGAGGAGGCCTACACAAAAAGGAAAGACAGGCCATATATACACACGTTATTGATATGAATGAACACAGTAGCAGTAACATGAGTAACGAACCACTTACTGTATCATTAAAAACATGTAATTCTTATATGTATTATTGTTGTAGTGTTCCCTGCGATTACAACCATGCAGTCATTATGCCACCTTGGATATGCTCTACCCTGACCAAGATATTCATTCAGATAATGGATGGATGGATGGATGGATGAATGGACGAATGGATGGATTGATAGATTATTGCTATGTGATTTAAACACGTTATGATTGACATCCTTGTTCCACACAAAACACGTGTTTCTAAAAGTACAGACAGAAATCTACAACACTCAATAAATACTAGTAGACTTATTATTTTGCATCATTACCGCAAATTCACCAACAACGTACATAACAGCTGTCATACAAATATTAAGTAAAAAAAAGTCCGGTTTCGAGTATAATCACCAAAATATATGATTAGTTTTTTAGTCCCCACTAAGCCAACCGAGGAGAGTCAGGCCGCTCTTTAGCTCCCCTCCCCCGCAGAAATCTTTTCTGGCGTCCAAGACTTGCTTTAGCTGCCTGAGTCTTTAAGCAAATCGCAGGCAACTGAAAACAAGCCTAGAAAGCAAGACAGTTTTCAAAGTGAATTCATAACCGGCAGCAAAATTAGGACTGATGCTTCTTGGCTATAAAAAAGGGACACAGACAAAAAAAGAGTAAGAAACGCCGAAGCACGTCTGTATCACTTTCTAATCAGTTTCTCACTTGTTTTAAGGCTATTTTATACTACAAGTGTCTAGTTCTTTTTTCATTTACTTGTATGCACTTGCTACTTATTAAAATTAACAAATAGACTTATGTTTAAATAGTAAATGAATACTGGACCGTTGTAATGATAACTTGAGACATACTTCCTTGTCAAATATTTTCGTACAACTCCGGAGTAATTAAAATGCAGCATTGAAAACACCACGTACTATGTTGGCCAGCTTGCTGAACTTACCTATTAATTTCAGGTGAGAATCGGGTGCAGTCCACGCTGTTCCCTGCTCCCGAATAGTGTTAATCTGTCCTTATTTCACTGAGTTTTATCAGTCGGACCTGAAAAGTTTGTTTGTGAAAGGTGTGTATGGCCGAATACTTATTACGCGATCCCGGATAGGGTGTGGGGCCGTCATACTTTACGGGAACACAGCTTTCCTTCAGGTTAAAGTTTATGCTTTATCACAGGGAACTCAAAACGGATCATAAGCAGGATGTGAAAGTGACTTAGCAATATCGGATTCTGAAGTCGCGGAGCATTAATGAATTCGAATTAAATAACGCAATTGCCTTAAAAATAGGTCATGTTGACTAAAGTTCGGTGTTAAAGGGGTGCTTTCCGGGAGACAGGTCAAAAAGTTTTATTTTATAATGTTTAGCGCATTATTGGTTTGTGCTTACACAAGTTGATTATTTTGAATATCTTAATTACCAAAGTAAACAAGTAACAAGCTGATCTGAATCACCTGGCCAGAGATTTTTCATTTCATTTTTGAGAAGCCAGCAGAGTTTCTTGTTTGCTTTCAGTCGTATATACCCACATGACGTCACTAATTGTTTACCCATAACGTGGTCAGCACCCTGGACAGCTCATAGACAAAATATAAAAATCTTTTATCCTTCAGCAGTGTTACTGTTCTTATTACTCTGTTGTCCACGAAGATCAACCTTAATGTTCAAACTTAAGCAGCAAAGTTAATGAAAACACTAAGATGAGAAATATTTACGGAGAATACATACTGATCGTTTTTTTATTAGAGTCAGCTGATAGGGAATGATTCCAAACATTGAAAAAGTTAAATTGCGATAGAATAGATGAACCGTAAGAAAGTAAAGAGCAGTTTCTTGAGAATTTTAGATAAGTAGTAGCGTAGTAGCCTAATTGGATGGTTTTATTATTCAAATTCACGAATCACTGCAGTAGGCTACGTGTTAGAAACTACAATTATCTGGAAGAAAGTTCAGTCCGATAGGGCACATTACACATTCGATTACTAACAAGGAAAACGTTTTAAGTTTTGTTAATTAAAGCAGTTAACCAACAAACCGTCATCACCATCTTGCATGCGACGAAGTATCGCTTTGAAGATAAAGAATACCAAAAACGCAGTGGACTCATATGCCGTCGTATGTTAGAAAATGGTCGCCTATGTCAGAATTAGCGTTAAAGTGGAAAGTTACCATGGTGATCTATGAATCTCCCACTACACTGCCTGCAGAGAGGAACTATTAGCAGGGAAGGAATGGTCACAAGCACCTCTGTTTGAATAAAGCCTTTATTTTCATATTTTAGCATGGTATTCCACAGGATGTACATAATTGGCCTTGATCTATTGCTGAATCCTGCGGATTGATTGAACCTGGTGGCTGTGGGCTTGGGTGCCGTACTCATTGTAGTTTCTGTATTCTCCTTCATGCCTGTCCCTCTCAAGGATGTATTGGTATCCACGGTAACCAGGGAACTGGTAGGCCACCCAGCTGCAGAGGCAGAGGGGAGACACAACAAGGTCAGCTAAGGCAGAGATTAGTGCTCTGAATTAGAACATCTGATTGGTTGGTCTCGCTTCCTCTAGTTGCTTGGATCCACCTCATATACAACCTGATTGGTTATCTCGCTGAACCAATCAATTTTTTTTTTTGCCCTCAAAACATTTTTGTGCAAGTGTGTAATTCCCAGGAGCGACTATCAAGGGTCAACACTCTAAAACCAGAGAGTTTACACTGGACCCAAAATACAAAATGTTGATTGTTTGTAATAGTTACATCGAGCTGTGAGGTTTTCAAAAGAGACCAGCTTACGCTCCAGAGTTGACCTTCATAGATGCAACCTCCTTGCTGCACCAGCCCATGGCCTGCAGGGAGGGGTAGTCATTACAAAGCTCAAACTTGCGTCCTGTGAGGTCCTTGCACTCATACAAGGTCACCTTGCTGTCACTGTGTTTCTGTTGAGAGAGTCACTCAGGAGAATTTGCAAATGAGAAAGATATTTACTGTATCTCAGAATCTGCCTGCTGAGAGGGATTCGTCACCTTAACCCCTCTCCTTCCTCTAGTCAAATATCTGATTGGTGATTCTTGTTATTAATTTATATCTGCTTGTTCATAGGTCGTATATCATACAAGTCTCACATTTAAAACAGTTTAGTTTTGTATGTTTATTGAACACAGAAAATCATTATATGGTTACTTCCCAGACAAAGACAGAATTAGTTTCAAAAACCCACCCACCTATGCATTTTCCATACCCGCGTCTTCAATGCAGGGGGTCTGTTATGCCAGAATCCCTGGGTGCAAGGCAGGAAATAACCCAGGAGGGGGTGCCAACCCATTTCAGGACACACACATTCACACCTACAGACAATTTGGTAACTGACCTCAGCATGTTTTTGGATTGTGGGGAGAAATGAGAGAAAGTGGAGGAAACCTCACAATGACACGGGGAGGACACAAAGAGCTGGGGTGGAGTCTCGAACCCTAGTCTCCAGAGGCAACCATGCACTGCTTCAGCTACAAAAATATCCTTTATTCCCCAATTTGTTTTCTCCACTATGAAAGGTAGATGAACAGTAGGGAGTGATGAGCGTCTTCTTCGGCCGAGCTGACTGGGGCTCGTTTTGTTGCTAAGATACCAAGAGTGGGAAATTCTAGCCTTTTACTCACTCGTAATGTTGCTTCAGCAAATGACAGTGATGAATGAGAATCACATCCATTCCAGGTGTCAGCCGGGGCATATTGTCCTTTTTGTCAGGAACATGATCTTGTGACCTGGGACCCCTCCCCCATTCCCCCAAAGATAACTTACAGCGCATTTGATTGGTCGGAATGAGAGCAGGTGTTCCGTTCTGTAGCCGGAGTTTCCGCTCCATGCCTCCCAGCGAGGATAGTCTCCTTTCTCCAGGATGAACTGCTGACCCTGGAACTCAGGATACTCGTACCCGATGAAACTGGGACCAGCGGGAAGGTTGGCGGAAGGAGGGTTGCAGTAAGAGAAGGTGAGAAATGTATCAGGACTAACTGGTAAGAAACAAGGTCAGGCTGCACCCCCTTTGCTCAGTGCTAAAAGCGAACAGTTCATTATCAGATCGTTAGTCTCCCACAGCACAGAGGCCAGACAGCTGAGCCGCGTGATTCACAGTCGCTTTCGGGACAGGAACAGCAGCTGATACCCAGAGACCCGCCCGCTATATTCAGATGGGTGTTAACAAACACACTGCCGGAGGGGTCGTCTTTCACTGCATTCGGTGTGCTGAGTGGCGTCAGTGATGTCGCAACACTGAAATGACTTCTGAATAGTTTTCGTTACGCTCACAATGACATGTTTGAGCAAAAGAACCCACCATTACATTTTCAGAGACACCAGTGACAACTGCAGTCTGATAAACGTTAACCTGCCATCCATTGATAATGTTATGGTAATTTAAGCAACAGAGGAATATTACAAACTTCAGGATGAGTCTCCCAGATTTCACTTTTGTCAACTAAAGTCCGGAAGTCATTCTTCCTTCTCTGGGATTTCCCAAAGACTATGCGACATGTTACTCACTGTGATCTGTTGATTCACTGGATATTCCCTGAGGGGTGTGGAAGCCTTTCCACAGGACAGGAGAGCACTTCACAACAGGAATGGAGGTGGGTTAATTTAGGCTATAAGTCCACTTCCTAAGCCTCTGCTCTCTTATGGCACCAGCCCAACCACATGAGGACCCAAACCCTTAGCTTTCAGCAACATGACCCCCATGTCTGAGTTGGGGGTGCTTACACGCAGGCAGAGACTTACACGCCGTTCTCCACCTTTATGGAGCGGATCTTGCGGAAGTCCCTTTCCATGATGTTGCGGCACTCCTGCATGAACTCGCAGTGTTTGCCCTGGAAGTTCTCCTCCTCCCAGACTGTGATCCTAAACTGCCCCATCTGCTCCATCTGCATCTGTTGGGTGTCCATGGCTGCGACTTCTCAGCCTACCACCAGAAGAGCGGGTCATGGTTTGACAGTCGAGGGGAGAAAGGGGGCAACACTTTAATTAAAAACAGAGCTCTCCCCGTTGAGGATACTGGGAGAGAAGTTTGATTACTGAGCAGAGCTGTAAGTGTGACACTGGTGAGTCATTGTGATTAAATCCTAACAGCGAAACTACAGCCTCCTTCTGCTTCTTTTCTGTATCTATGTCCCGGAGGCGGGTGTTAGCATTCTGGCTGTATACTACTTACGGACCAAAGCGGGGCAGATCCAGAAGAACATCCGTCAGGGATCACAGTCCCTGTTGTACATTTATAGAGGTGGCCCCCCTCCCTCATCGCTTCAGCGAGGCAGTTGCACAAGCCCTGCACACTCAGCAGTGCCTGGCTGAAAGAGGGCTTTAGGCCACGCCATTGTGGGGGGCTTAGCGCCCCTCTGACTCATCACTGTGGCACCCCCCCCCCCCCAACCCCCACCCCCACTTTGCCCACGGCAGCCTAAAAAGGCAGTGCACTGATGCAACAGCTCGGTTCAGAAAGCTGACCGAATGGCGGCATTCTGGGAGATTATTTTGCAGATACTGGGCTCCGTGAGACACAGTCGCCCGCACGGAAGCGGCTGCTGCCAGAAACCAACAAGGGTGCAGTTTTAGATTAAACAACAGCCAACCTGACAGTTAAAGTATGTTTACCTTAAGACAAGGATGACCGTAAATCTCCCTAAATATCTCAGGATGCTGTAATAAAGCATTCAGCCATGTTAAAACGAAAGACATGAAAAAGTAAACAATAATTAAGCTTGAAGTATTTTCTTGATGTGTGTGACTGCAGGATTTCCTCTCTGAAGTCAGACACAGCTTGAATTAATGTTGCTCCTCTTCGGACAGCTGAGAATCTTACCAGAGAGTCTGTCAAAGACAAATTCCAATGATTCCTTGCACTCTGTGGATGATGTCATTACCAGTGACTATGTCTTTGTAGTTCTGTTTGTGTCAGGCTTTTCTTTGTAATGGTCTGTGTTTTGAACTGTTCAGAGTTTTGCTGTTTGTTACGCAGTGTTTGGAGGTAATGCCTCTGTGTTTTCTTGTATACAACAGTTTGTTTGCCATAATTATGGACTTTCAGTGCGATAAACAATGAATGTTTCTCAGCCTACTAGTTGCTTCCTTCTGCATTACCCTGCCCCCCTGAATCCTGTCACACCCCTATTAAGTTCCCAACAGTGAGACTGAGCACATGACTGAACATCATAACAGGCGTTTCTGACAGGTCTAGGCTCTACATTTGCTTTTGCGTATATTTATTCAGCTGCACGTGAGAAATCTGCAGTCTCTCCTTGGCTTGTGCAGGTTTGTCTTGTTCCAAAGCACAAATATATGCATTGAAGCTAATTGGCATCTCCTGTTGTGTGTACACCTGTATACCAAGTGATGGACTATCATCTTGTCCAGAGTGTTCTCCAACCTTGTCCCCTATGCTGCCTACCAAACAGTTAGAAGATTGATGAATAGGATTATCTAAGCCAGATGTTTAGTCTTTGAAGATTGTAGAATAAAATATAATGTGTTTATAGTGACACCTGGTGGCTATTGTAGCTATTGCAATATGCAGAATATAGCCCTATTGGCAAAAGCAAGTGTACATTCCCCAGTGTTAATTCTAGCTTTTGAATGGTGAGTGAAAAACAAAACTGAGAAAGATGTGCTGTTTATTGAAATTTGGGTGATTTACTGTACATTCAGGGTTTTGAAACTCGCCCCTTTTGTGTGTGAGGAGTGTTCTCCAGTGATGATGTACACTCACCTAAAGGATTATTAGGAACACCTGTTCAATTTCTCATTAATGCAATTATCTAATCAACCAATCACATGGCAG